GAGAAAGAGAGAGAGAGAGAGAGAGAGAGAGAGAGAGAGATGTTCAGTTAACTTTATACCCTCAAGCTTCTTAATCTTTATCTCATTAGGAATCAAGGCCTTAATCCAGTTAAGTTACGACAAGGATCCTGAGGACACAACTGAATGATTATAGGATAAGGGAAGAACCTAAATATAAAGGCAATTCTGAAGTAAATAAAGCAGGAAAGTGTGGCATTCAGGCAATTATTCAGGGATTGAAATATCCAATTATTATAATTGCTGTTGTTGCTACTGTTGTTATATTTTCTCATATCAAAAAGAATTTACAACACATCCACATTATGTCTGGCTTAACACCAGAGGATGTTCAGGTTTGATTTAAAGTGAAAATGTTTCATTGGACTTGCTGTAGGGTGGCTGACCTAAATCAAATCTAATTGTGTGTTGTTAGAACAACTCGGGTCTAAATTATCTATGCTGCACTGCACCAAGCAGCATTTTTTTAAAAATGGGTCAGAAACATTGAACCATATTTGTCAGCTTCACCACCTGCCATTTACATGGAAAGCATAACTGCATAGAAATCACAAACAGTTGCCACATTGAAAGAGAGGAGCTTCATTTTGCAAAATGCTCACTTGGGGGATAACTTAAGCTGAAAAATGCTGTCCCAAAATGATGATAGGAAACAAAGAGCAAGCAAGTTTCTGTACAGGTCTCGTTGCCCTTTTATTTGATAATAGCTCGTAAGTGTGTTTGACACTTGAATTAATCTACCTTCAACAAAGCTGCATTTTTCAGCTTAAGTATTTCATGCTATAGAGTGATTTTATTAGTAAAATTTATCCCAAAAAGCTTTTTTCTCTCTCCTTCTCTCCTTCACTCCCTCGCTCCCTCCCTCACACATGCACATATTTGTATTTATTAGTTTGTCAAACATGTTCAACATAGCAGGTATAAATATAAACATGCATATAAATGAAATAAATGAATATAAATAGATGGGGACTGTAGGACAGGGACATTAGGCACACTGGTGCAGTTAAGCCTGCCCCCTTTACAGACCTCTTAGGAATGGGGTGAGGTTGACAATAGACAGGCTTAGGTTAAAATTATGGAGGTTGGGGATGTAACAACAGACTCAGGTAGAGCATTCCAGGCTTTAACCACTGAAATCATATTTTCTGCAATCAAGTTGGAAGCGGTTTATCTTGAGTTTGTATCTATTGTTTGCCCATGTATTATTGAGGTTGAAGCTGAAGAAGTCGTTGACAAGTAAGATGTTGTAGCAAACAATTTTGTGTACTGTGCTTAGATCATACTGCAGGCGGCGCAGTTTCAGATTGTCCAAGCCCAAAATTTCAAGTCTAGTGGCATAGGGAATTCTATTGTGAGTAGAGGAGTGAAGTACTCTTCTCGTGAAGTACCTTTGGACCTGCTCAATTGTATTCATGTCCAATGTACAGTGTGGATTCCAGGCAGATGAGCTGTATTCGAGAATTGGTCTGAGAAAGGTTTTGTATGCCCTAGTTAGCAATACAATGTTACCGGAGAAGAAGCTTCGGAAAATTAGGTTAATAACTCTTAATGCCTTTTTGCCAATGCTGTTACAGTGGGCTCTGGAACTTAGATCATTTGAGATGAGAACTTCTAGGTCCTTGACCTTGTGTGAGTGTGTGTGTGTGTGTGTGTGTGTGTTATATATACTTTTTTAAAAAAAGAATGGGATTTTGTTTTTTATAAGGAAACAAACCAAACCTATTAGGACAGTGCAACCTTTATAAAGATTGGAAGAACCTCTCTGCTACGGATTAAAGTAGCCATGTCCTTTTGGAGGCTTTTGCATGACATTTACAAAAGATGCTGCTACTTTAAGGCATCAGCTCAAAAGAGCACCATCCTTTTTAAAGCAAAAGTGTGTGTTTGTGTGGGGGGAATGTTACTGTTTCATGAATAGCAGAGAGGTTCTGGCTTGGCTGAGATCCAGAATGCCTCTTCCAATTTATTAGGTTCTAAATGCATTTAAAGTGTAAACCCTCATTACTATGAATGAAACCTATTCTATAGCAGGAATGTTAAACTGGTGGCCCATGGCCCAGATGTGTCATGGATAGGTCACAGCTACCCCAGCTCTGCAAATGGGAAGAACATTGAGAATGGTCACGTGACGGCAATGTGACACAACAGTAGAGGTGAATTATTACCCATATCCTATAGTAAGAGAGGAAAAGGCAACAAAATCTGTATGCGCTTCAACCATCCCAACTAACAAGGCTAGATGTTGTGGCAGGTACAAAATATTGGGAACTGTACAAAAGCTTAGGTTTTTAAGTTGAGGAAGACTTAAATACAGCATAGGCAAAAACTTTCATGGACAATAATTCATCTACTTCTCCAACTATGCACAGCCAATATGCACAATTGCAATCCAGGCCTTTTTAAAGCCCCATAATTTATTAGATGGGCCTTTCAATAAATTGGAATGTATTCTCCAATTATTATTAAAAGCACCAATGGAACTCATCGATTGCTCTGAATAATGTCATTCTGCACAAAATTTTCTCTGTAAACGTATTTCATACACACTTTCCCTTCTATTCGGTTTGGCTTGCAATGATTTCCTCATTTATGCCTACAAAGCACATTTGTACAAAAAAAAATTATGTCAAATGCATGAGTTGGAAAGTATCTTAGTAGTCCAACTCCACTCCCTGCAGAAATCTACCAAACTATTTCCAACAAGAGATCAACCAGCCTCCATTCAAAAAAAAATCCAGTGAGAGGTAATCCACCACTGTTTCAGGTAGCCTCTTCCTCAAGCTCAATTGTTCTTAACAATAGAGAATACCATGATTTTTCCTACTTGTGAATTTTAACATATATGTAATGGGAAGAATAAATGATTGGATATACTTGAAACTAGCATAAATCTGGTAGAAACCAGTTCATCTACATTTCTTCTCTGCATGCAACTTCTACCACTGAGCTTAAGCCTTTTCCCATTATGGTTAAAAAAAAATACAGACTAACCACAGTATATAAGGTTGGCGGCTGTGAAACACTAGAACTTTTC